GGAGGAAAGGCAATCGGATAAATGTGCAGATTTGGGTTGATGGAGTAATGAGATTTGGTATTTGCGAGCGTGGTAGAGTTTTCTTCTATGATGAGGTGTAGTTGTCCCTATTGAATGTACTAAATTCGCCGGTGTTATGATCTTCTACAATTCGCCTTTGGGGCAAGATATTGTGAAGTAGCATTGAAGATGCGGCTGTTAAGTATCGCGGGGTGCGGTGGTGCAGGATTCAATCAGTGTTCCTAATATCGACGGTTCGAGGAAAAATGATCTTCGGAAAGGTTTAAAGTTAGCAACAGTTGTGGGTTCAAATTCCATGAAGATAGATTTTATTTAAGGCAACAATTGAGCAGCAAAGGATAAGGAAGGACATGTGGGGAGTATCAGGCGGTGGTTAAAATTTCTAGAAGCCCAGGTATAAGAAGCAAAGGTCGAGTAGTCGACTAGAGGGGTGAGTTTCGCCAAAGTGGGAGAGTACGGAGTGATTTGGGAATTTTAGTGTTTGGTGATTAGGGCCTACGGATTTATTTGGAGTATGGGCTATTAGGCGGCAGGAGATTCGATATAACAGAAAGAAGCTGCTTGAAATGAAGAAGGATACAACCGAACTTTGAATTGGAAGGATGTTGTCGCGCACTTAATTGATGTCCACGAGAGGTAAATGGACTTGTGCAGCTAGAGAGTGAGCTTGGACTCAGGATGGGTCATTAATGTCGTGGGGATTGCGAATCTCGCAGCGGACTCAACCTTAGGAAGAGTGGGCGCTAATGCTTTTACCCAATAGTGGTATCGGGGTCAATTTCCACAGGGAGCTAGAAAGGGGGTTGGATATTTGCTTAGTCTAGAAATGCGTGTTTGCTTCTAATTGATCTTCTATCATTTTTGGGTTTTTTTGATTATCAACTACAATTTAACAACTACTAATTATAACTAAATTATGCTAAGATATTAATTCTAGGTTGTATGCAAGATAGAGAAAGGCACTAGGGTCGTGGCATTTACCTAGGTGGTCAACTAACGGGTAGAGATTCCTAATACAAGAATGATGATTATGGGGCTTATGCTATAACCGTTGCACGATTGCACTCACTCTCACACCTCTCGGTAGAAAGAGTGATTTTGCCCAATTGACTCTCTCGAGACCAATTGGGTAGGCTAACAAGCCCAAGCAACTTAGGGTTCAAGTTGGGTAATTACTCTCTCGAGGTTTTACCCGTTAATTGGGACTACCATTCTCATGGGTCCATCCCAATTCCTTGTTGGGTTAATTTTGGAGTCATAGACACTCTTTCTCAAGAAGAGTCAAGACCCACTAAGCTAGACTTAGTGTTTGCAACCACCAAATCCTAGTTAAAACATAAAATTAACCCAAATATCAAACACCCAACATCATTCAAGTATTAAACAATCACACCCATTAATTACCCACACTAGGGTTGAGCCACAACCCTAGCTAATGGGTTTAGCTAGCCATAATGGCAACAAAAATTGAAGAAATAGTAGATAAAATCAACATATTAATTAACTAGAATGTTAATCTACAAGAATCCATGATAAAGCAAGATGAAAATGCCCAAAATAGGCAAAAACTTGAGCCTCACGAGTGCTGCTGCTATCTGATGTCTAAAACTTCACCTAGAAATAATAAAATATTCTATTTATACTATGCTAGAAAGACTGGACAAAAATACCCCTGCGGGGCTGGGGGGGG